ACTCATGTCCTCATCCAGGTGTGGTTTTCTATAGAAAGGGCAGAGGGTGTGGGTGGACATGCCACTGTGCAGGTCTCATCATGCACAAAGCAACTCCTCAAAGCAAAGATATTTGGACCCTTTAGTGAAGTGAGCTGTTGTACCTTACTGAAAACTAAGGTGTTTATTGTTTGGTCCAGAGAAACGACACCCACTGAGGCGCCGTTCTGTGACCAAGGGCTAATCTGTTTTGTACAATGGTGTCTATGCTATTGCAAAGGGTGGCTTTTGTAGATATTTATCCCAAGATTCCCCAGCGTAAAGCCATACCTGTTCCCAAGCATTGTATTCCAGTTAGAAACCTTGACACAGTTGTTCCAGGCATCTTAAAGAAGTTGCCACAGATCTTCTATGAATGAGTCTGTTTCAATGTTCATACTTTTTTTGCTGTTGTTGAATCACTACACCATTGGTAGTTGTGAATAAATATATATGCTGACAACACGTCAGTATTTTGCGGTGAAGCCCTAAATCGATTAACATTTGAATGTGTTTCTTCATAATTCACTCCTCTGAAATTTCAGTGAGTTTCGTTCGGAGGAAACTGTATTCTCTGGTGCTGTGTTTCACACTGGTCCTGAGTACAGTGGGGCCCTGTGGAAACAGCTGGCATGGTGGAAAGACCTAGATACTTCCCATGATCCCAAAGGACTCTCTTGCTCTGATCCCCCGAATATCTGTACCTCTACTTCCCTCGGCCATGCGGTTTTCCATTAATCAATTTTTCAATTTACTGGCTTTTGCAGGGAGGAGAATGTGTTGGACTGCAGCACACATGCATGTTATTCTCCTGCGGCGAGATCTCGTTGTTGGTTCCCTCAGATCTTGACCTGTGTTAAGTCCTTGGCTTTACTGAGTTTTCCCTGCAGTCTCGGGGCAGGCTCTGCACATATCCTCTTCCTGTTCACTGTCTAGAACGACCAGAGGCTGTCAGAGGGCCGACTGCACCACACAGACCGTGTGAAGTGACCCAGTTTCTGAAAAACCCCCTGTCCTTTGCTGGACAACTTTGGCTCTGTCTGGGAACTAAACAAGCTGAGACACTCTCGTTTTTTCATAATTACCATTTGAATAGATGTAGTTAATAGAGCTTAACTTAAGTGTACATTTTGCAGGAAAAAAAATATCTTGTTTGGACTGTTTCACACAATTAGTCTAAGACAGGGGTCTCCAAACTCGATCCTGGAGGGCCGGTGTCCTGCAGAGTTTAACTCGAACCCTAATTAAACACACCTGAACCAGCTAATCAATGTCTTACTAGGCATACTAGAAACTTCCAGGCAGGTGTGTTGAGGCAAGTTGGAGCTAAATTTTGCAGGACAGTGGCCCTCCAGGACAGAGTTTGTTTTGGGTGTAATGTACGTGATGAATAATTGCACAACAACTACATATGCAATGAATGGTATTAGTGAAAAATGGCATCAACTAATCACAGCTTGATATTTCAGCAGAACAAATTTTACATATTGCTTCACTACCATAATTTTTGGTCATGAGGAAGTGCATCCACACTGTTGATGTGTACCTGTTGTAGCTTATCCACATTGTGTGGATTAAATAGATGCTGAAATCATCAAAATGCATCAGTGTAGAGGTGCTTATTAAACTTTAAGTAAGTTGGAAGGAAGGACGTAAGGAAGTAAGTGTCAGGGCATTGAGGAACTTTAAGGGAAAAAACTGTTGCAAAGCCTCTCAAGTCTCTGTGTTGGCTATCTAGTATGCCTTTTTTTTTTACAGGTTAGAGAGTTCATTGGGGGGACAGATGGGGTCTTATGTGATGCTCTAGGTCTTGTTAACACACTGTTTGTGGTACAAATCTGATATGGGAGGGAGTGAGCTCCAATAATTCTCTCAGCTGTTTTTACAAGGCATTGCAGGGCCTTGTGGTATGAATCATTGCAATTTCCAAACCATGTTGTTAGGATGCTTACAATTGTTTCTCTGTAGAATGTGGTGAGGATATGTGTGTGTTGTGTGTTTGGCCTCCTCAGTCACCTCAGAAGGGACACTGCTGTGCCTTTTTGGCTTGTGAGGTGGTACAAGTGGTGTGCAGACCCAGAAACGTCTCCATCCATTGATGTGCAATGGGAGGTGGTCAGTGTGGAACTTTCTGAAGTCGATGTCTCAGTTTGTTTTGTCAACATTTAGAGACAAATTGTTGTTTGCACAGCAGTCTACTAGATGCTCCTTTCTGTGTGATGACTTATTGTCGCTGATGAGGCCCACTGCTGCGATGTCATTCTCGAACTTGATGATGCAGTTGTACTGTGTTTGGCAGTACAGTCGAGAGTCATCAGGGTCAACAAAAGCCCTGTGGGGCTCCAGTGCTCAGTATGATGGTGCTGGACCAGTTATTGCCTATCCCAAATGTCTGAGGTCTCACAGTAAGGAAATCCAGATGTAGAGAGAGGTATTATTGCTATGCAAGGTCAGTTTATCTGTGATTTTTTAAGATTGTGTTGAATATATATATATATATATATATATATATATATATATATATATATATATATATATATATATATATATATATATATATATATA